TTGGATTTTAGATTTTTTTTCTATGGAGAAAATTTTACGGAATCGTGTTTTCGTCTAACATTAATCCTCAACTTTAACATATATTTATTTCAAAGTTATACTGCAATATTTTCGGCATAACGGAGGATCTTGCTAAGCCATTTGAGGTAGTATAGACCCTTAATTATGAATGTAAATCTCTGTGGGTCACAGCATCCACTTCAGATGGTCTTCACCATCAGGTAAACTGTGTGTTAATTTGTCACCCTTATTACGAGTATATAAAAAGAAACTTGATGTTACCAATATTGCTTGAGGTACTTTTTTATATAATAGGTTACCTGCACCTGCAACTAATTTTAGATATAGGTACATTTTAGGTTGCACCCCAAGTACTAAAACCAAATTACTTGCGGTATATAATTATTTAATGTCTTATTGTTTATGAATAAACTTTATGTTTTAGATAAAGCACTTACTTCTTACTAGTGTCTTCAGAGAAGACTATGGGAAATACTAGATAGATCTCATTGCACTCAAGTGCAATTCATCCGCCGACGACGTTAATATGACTTGATATTCGTCGTGCACGAGGTATTTGACAGTTAAATCAAAAATTCTTTAACCCACATTCTTGGACTTTCAAAGTTTTCAAACAACTGTCCGAGAAAGAGAAGCCTCGCAACCCAGTCTGACACCTTTATGAATGCTAAACCTGTCCGTGTAGGCATAGTAGGGCTAGGTTGATTCTAAGTAAGTACTAGAGTCGCTATAAGAAGTTTTATTGCTTGTGTTAGCCCCATGCTCAACCCAAACGAGGCCAAGGTTTGTCCCTTTTTCTGTGTCATAAGGTCTTATCCAAGACTAAAATGCACAGAAAATTTTCTGATTTTTGGTCAAAACTTCCGTGATCATACGAATTGGAAAAAACCACACCCCATCCTTTTTCTAAATTCTTAAAATAATAAATCAAATTCTCATTTCATTACTATTTCAATTAACACGTTAGCATACAGTTTTCGGACAATGCTAAGCAAGCTGATTCATAGTTTTACAATCCTGTTGTGACACTTCATCCATAATTAATGGGACTATAACGGCTTTGCTCGAGTCTCCTAGTACTCGCTTTAGCTTCCAACACAAATTAAACATAGGTGTACTGTTATAGTTTGAGAGGCATTTCATCTTGTCCTCAGAGGTGAAAACGCATTTCTAACCTTCTTTCCTGTAATTGGCTACGTGCCTATGAACTGCTTCTTCTCACCATGAGGTGGATTGTAAGTTGTTTGACAATTCAGTCTTACAAAAACATCCCCTTTCGCTTCTTCTCATTTAAACATAACACATCTATTCATATATCATACATCATCTCATATAATCTATCCATTTTATCATTTATCTTTCCACACACATTCAACATAACCAAACGGGCTTCCGCAATCCACTTCTCGCCATTTCGAGAGACAAAATTTGATGGGTGATGTCTCCGTATAAGTACTGAAGTCATAAAAGGTAAAGACGAAGTAGTACATAACGGCAAATGGCAAAAACTACGGAATTTTATTTGGTACGACACTGACACACCTCTCTCGCCTCCTTTACATCCATATCTCGTCGGTTAAGAGTTCTTAACTCTTTACAGTAACTGTCCGATTCAAACACAGTAGTAAAACAATAGATATGAAAGAAAGAAAGAAAGAAAGTTCACTTCACTTCACACACTTCACACACTTCACTTTTGCAGCATAAATTTGCTTTTTGACACTCGACACTCTTTACTCGTTCAGTTTTTCTATATAACCATACCACCCACCGAAGCAGTCCTTTCTTATTCCTGCCCACAACATCATCTTGCACATCACTCTTTTCTTTTATTACACAATTTCTTACCCTGTCATTCAGATACAGGTAAGTACTATATATTACACGGTAATTTCGATTCATTGTTCAATAACTTATATAGATACCCAAATATTGATGAAACAGTTTATTGCTAAGTTACAAACAGACAATAAGTTTCAAAAAACGTAAGACTAAAAGTTAGGGTCTTTTTGATTTACACTACAATTAGAAATCGAAGAAATGCAAATTCAATATCCGAAAAAATGTCCACAAGTACATTGGGATACGCTTAACGTGAATTATCCGGTAAAAGTAACTCCAAGTACGGGTATATCAAGTGAAACTATTGCTCGAAAATGGAGGACGCAGCCAGAAGCACTACTACACGAGCGACCGGTGAGAATTTTTTTTAATGTTATTAAATATAAGTAAAAATTTCACAGCAATAATTTATCGCTTCAACAGAACCAGAGTTATTTATATGTCTTAAGAAGGATTCTAGCTTGAAAATTATATACCATAGAATGACTCCGGAACACCTAGGTATATCTTTTGCTGTAAAATATGTCAAGATTTAGTGATTTTATTTAGTGATTGTAAGTATTAAAACAATGCAGATTTATTAACTGAAACTTAGTGAAAACCTCACTTAAAGTTCTACATACATTTCAATATGGGTAAAGTCACGTACAAATCTGTCATAGTGTTCTTATCACCAAAAGAAATTAAGAAATAGGAAAGAGGAAGTTGGAATCAACGCATACAGGTCCCCAGGTAGAAAAATTTTGTTATTATTTCTAATGTATTATATTATACACATGAAAAATAAAAGAAATATATATTTTACCACTATAATCGACAAACACTATAATTGGTAAACTTTTAAGGGTTACCACGCGAACAGTCAATGCTGCTAGAAGTGGTTCCGCTTTTTTTTCGGCTTTCAAATGAGTGGATTCTGAATTAGACTATTCCATATAATAAAAATCGGATTCATGTCCAAATACTACAAAAAAAATAATCTCAAAATTACAAGCGCTTGGTAAAGTCATTCAATTTCAAAAAAAAATTCAATCGATAAGATTTTGGTAAATTTCAATCTCAACTCTCATTAAAATGAAAAAAGTGCAAAGAAATAATAGCCAATACCTACTACTATTGATTATAAACTTATAACTATATTTTTTATTTTCATATTCACTTATTTTATAGTAAAAATATTTACTGTATAAGTTTCTAAGAAACGCAGAACAAAATCATATTTTTTTACAGAAGGAACAGACTAAGGACGCTAGCGAATATTTTCGAGACTATCAGCTTTGTCACGAATTGAGAAAGTCACAAACGTCTAAGGACTATACATTCAAAATCTCTGATGTAACGAGATATAATAAGCATACTTCATGTCTCGAAAACCAATATATATATCCACCTTCTAAAAAGGTAAAAAAACCGTTATTATCATTCATGTCATTACATGTTTCAGCCTATAACATACACTTATGAACAAACTGCCTAATCGGTAGGATTTTGTCATTGTTGCGTTGCAACTATTTCAAAATCCCCTACGAGACAATCTATGGGGAAGTCCATTTTTAGCAGTGGACTGTTAATAAGTTGTAATGGTTTATTTAGAAACAATTTAATTTATTTAAATTACAATTTTTGTTGCAAAACTTTAAATACCATCAAAAAGAAAAATAACTGTAAATCATTTACTGAAACACTATTCTAATTATATGAACATTCAACCAGCAAAATAAAGAATCAGGCAGGACACAAATTGTATAGTAAAATATAAGAAAGTAGCTCATTGATCTCACCAAGTCTATCAAATTACGAATGAAGAATATATAAGTAAGGGAAAGTGTGTTACGGAATTAATTTCGCATAATTTATATCTTGTTTGGTATAATTTATTACTAATAGTATAACTTATTGCATAATTTTGTAGATAATGTTAATTGATTAGAGACTTGTCTCTTGGGACTTGTTCCTTTGTAGTTTATATAATTTAACTTTCTGCGGTGCCTTTTTACTGATATTTTTGCGCGAGATGTTTTGTATAACAAAATAATTGATTATTTTTGGCAAATTATATGTTTACAATAATGGCCAATGACTATCAAAATGTTATTCAAAATCTTTATTTGCAATAATATAAAAATTCATAGAAATAATTTCGAATGAAGTTAACACTTATCTCCTCTTGACAGCTCGCAGACCGCCCACCGTCATGCACTGCTCACGGAACTACAGAAATGAAAGAATCTTACACGCCTCCTATAAGCGCAGGTCGTTTTGTAACCGATAAAGATCAGTTTAAGCATCCGAAGTCCCTGGAATATGATTCGGTATGTGCACGCATCATGCATTTGTGGTAGAGACATGCTGCAGCTATATAAGTGGTATAGTTGTAGCACGAATGCTCGACCGAGTTAGTACCACGCTCTCTCAGAATATCAGCTTAAAATAGTAGCTTAACGCTGCTGTGTTTCGTATGGTGAGTGTAGAGAATCGCAAACCGTTTTTACCGTAAACGAAGCATTCTATCTCAGTCCTCACGTGTGACAACGCATCTGCATTTTGATTCATAATCGAGGATAGATGTAGATGTTTATGGGTTGCAGCAACCACTTATCACCAGGTGAACTTTGTGCTCGTTTTTCACGCTTATCCTATAAAAAATAATATATAGAAATTACGTACAAAATAAAATCTCCCTCAATATATTCCTAGATATCGACCACAGTGAATTTTTATTCTTATTTTATACAGTAGATAAATATGAATAAATGCAATTAAAATATTGCATAAATGTGAGGCGTTTACTCTACATTTTGGGTATTTCAAAATGCTGTAGCTATATTATGGTTGCATCACGAGACGGATCGACCGGGGAAGAACCACTCTCTCAGAGAATACTATCGTAAAATAGTAGCTTAATGATGATTTGTTTCGTGAACCGGGGGAACCAATGCGTCTGCATTTTGATTCTTAATCGAGAATAGATGACAACAAATGTAGATGTCTGTAGGCCACAGCATCCACTTTTCATCAGGTGGAGTGTGTGCTCGTTTCACCCTTATTTTATTTAAAAAAACATCAAATATTTTAATAAGTACTTTTATATTTTTAAGTCACCAGTGGAATCAAATTGTCACAAGAAACTCGAAGCTATGAACACGACATACGAAGGTTTTGAAAGATATTTAGACCCATACCTTACTACCAGCCGACTGTACCTTAGGCCATATACCGCAGAACAATTGAAGAAGATCTCCAACTCAAAGGACGTCGTCACTTATTACATATTAGCAGATGTTCCTTGGGTAATTAAATTCTATATTTAAGAAAACATATATAGAATCATATTTAAGAGGTAAAAAAAAAAGCTCCTATACGTATGACTTACTATCCTGAGTTTTGCAGTGTATACGGTTAGGATTAATTTTATTAATTTATTATAGATCCCAGAAAGTTATAATATACGCGATAGAATTCATAAATACTAGTTTTATTTAAATATGTATGTAGTGTTTGCGTAAATATACGAAATCATTATATAAAAAAGTCCCGCTATATTTCTTACCACTTTTCCCAGAGCAGAAGTATTTGCCGAACCAGTGGTTTATTTTAATTGTACTAATAATGGCTGTCAATAACTTTTATTGAATAAAAAAGTTTATATTTTTATTTGTGAAACTTGAAGTCGTAAATCCATCATACATTACGATACTTACAAATGATTAGTACCTTACACTTTTCTCGAGGTAGAGTCAGTAGAGTCACCGCGGAGTACTTCATATTTAAATTGCATCTCGAAGATTTTATTATTGAATCCTACTCATCAGCGACTGGTTCTCCATTATTCTCCGTATTGGATTAGGACACTTTTGTTTAGCATGAATTAAAAATTAAAGTACTAGACTTCTGAGCAACAAATCGTATATACAGAGACGAGCGCAACACAAAAAAAAAAAATTATTTTATAGAGCGATAAAAATATTATCATAATATCGCAGACATAATAATTAATTTTTTTCACTATTATTAACGTAACATATGAACTTATCGTAGCATAAGTTTATCGAAATTTAACACGGGTTAAGAGGCTTCTCAAATAGCAGAACAAGCTATAATTAAAAAAAGTTGCGTTAAAAGATCTAAATTATTTAAACAAAATTTATGTAGTGACAAAATTTGTATAGTGATTAATGGTGAAATAATAAAAATGTTGAAAGACGTTGTTAGCTTTAAAATTATTTTAATTATTTATTCAGAAGGCGGAAAGACTAAATTTTCCTTATTTTATCAAAACGGAATGAATAAAATAATTTTTATTCAATATAGATTATGTTGATATTGAAAGAGGGCATAAGTCTGTGGTGGTTAGAGATAATACGTTGGCTCGCAGATTTTTTCATTGTAGTAAACAAGTAAAAGCATGTTTTTTAATCTGTGGGTGAAATAAACCAAAAAATCGCTGCACATGCTACGCGTCAAGTATATTATTATCTTTAAGATGATAATGGGATTATGGGACTGGCTATGGGGGTAGCGCATCGGAATACCAATCTCATGGCTTTACATACATCATTTGCAGCAAAATACATACTTGGGGTATGTTCCGAAACGTTTTCTGTATACTGCCGAATACAAATGACGTCATCAATTGACACTATATTGTACTGGCGTGCCGCCGCTATATTGTGTCGGATATCCGGCCATAATAAAACAATTTTAAATTGTGTGTGCGCTGAATGAAGCATGCCAGAATTTGTTTTTATTTATTCAAATACAAAAAATTATAGAATAATTGCTGGTATCTCCATTAGGAGGATATAATGATTTTTGGAGCACAAAATGACAAAATAATCGCCAACACTTTTCCAATATGGCGCAAATGTATGTCCTATGTTTTGGAACGAATCACCAGTGTAGCGTCGATTCATGACGTCATTTGCATTGGACAGTACACTAGGTTCTATTTTGGAACATACCCTTATCTACAGAACACCAAACAGTCGTAAAAGCAACACCCGAGATGACGTTGAAGGATAGATAAACTTCGCTGCTATGAAAGTGTAAATTATACGGAGAGTGAACATAGAAACTCACTCCCTTCATCAATCATCCTCTGCACAATAGAACGGGAACTCCTCCTCAACTCCCTCAATTCTTTATCACTTCAAAATAAAACTAATTTTACAGATTTTATCGCATTTAATTTAACTTATTTTCCTTCTTCGTTATTTTCTTTATGGGTGCTGTAAAGCACCAAAACGTCAGAAATTACCTAAATCCCGAGACCCCCGCGACCTTAGACTAATTTTATGGATCCGAAAAATTTGTTTTATTTTCATGTGTAGTATTAGTTTGAATAATCCTCTTAATCAAGGATAGATGTAGATGTCTGTGGGTCACAGCATCCACTTACCATCACACCACCACATACCACTTAAAATCAGCCAGTTACAAACAGTACAACAATTTCAATTTTATACAAACAAAATACGAAGAAACTTTTTCCCTGACCTATTAAATACTATTGAAATTCAATTTTTTACTTTTACCAGTGGTTTAGAAAACATGAATCGAGGGAAAAACCTGCAATTTTACAATAAAATACATAGGTTCTATAATTCATTTAAAAATTATCGATAACCATCATTGGGTGCGTTTGGCAGAAAAAAGCGCTAGCAAGCGCTTGTAAGCAAAATGGCGATCGTAAGCGGTAAGCGCTGTCAAATCGTAAGTAGCTATTTCCCTCTAGGATACGAGGTTAGTTTTAACCGGGGCACCTAACCTAATTTAAATATATGTTTGTAAAGTATTCATATTAAAAACTTACCAATTATGAATTTTTAGTAACATGTATAATATGTTTATTCATGTCATTATATTACTTAAAACTAATATTGCTCAAAACAACTTATAAACTCTACTTCAAAACAAACAAATTAAATAAGCAAAATGGCCGATTGTGTCAGCGCCACTGAAGTAGCAATCGTGTCCTGGCCGCAAACTATTTCAGCGCTTGCTAGCGCTTTTTTCTGCCAAACGCACCCAATGTAAGCATTTTAAAATTCTGTGCCCTAATAAAGGTGTGGTCTAGAAAACCAAAACACGATGAATGGACTCTACGGCAGAGAAGACCGCAATCCACTTTTGATAGAGAAAAGTTTAAAGGCGACTTTAGAGAAATAAGGACGCACAATAAACTTCAATGGGTTCCCGGGTATGAAATTATATCATTTGACACTATTATTTATTTAAAAATATAATTTATCTATATTTTTATTTTTTTTGCAACGAATTACACATTTTGATTAACGTACAATTAAATATAAACATTTTATTTAAAAGTGTTTTAGAAAAAATTGAAATTGAATTATAGGAGATTATGTAAAGTGCTATGGCATAAGAAGATAATTCTCCCAATTTCGTCCATTGCGTGTCGTAAGAAACGACTATGGGAAATCCCAAATAGATCTCATGGCGTCCGATATAAACAAACATTTTAACAAATCCTGTTTTTATTAGGAGTAAATCTAGCAATGGACTTTTAACGGCTGATGATGAATATAGACTATAAATTTACTTTTTATGATATGAGAAAACTTTATACTATAAAACTGATTAATTACTAACCAGGTTACTTACTTGTAGATCATTCAGAACAGAAGTAAAAGATAACTATGCGTTATTTGTACCGAAAATAAATGATCAATTAGATACTTATGAAGATGACGTGATAACAGGATACCTGCGAGCAGTTGCTAAATTAAAAACAAACACACAATTTGAATATTCATCTATCAATAGAAATTACTCTTCGGAAAATTCGCAAATAGGTTCCACAAAACCGATTTGCTCAGTTTTTGAACAATGTGCAAATAAAAGTAAAAGACTTGAGAGAAAAATAGCTAACATTAAATAAAGTGAAATATAAAATGTTCTTGCTTTTATTATTTACCTACATTCAATCTGCTTAAATTTCGATAGCATGTAAATTAGGAAAGATGTAATAACGGCTTACGGAATTTCGTATAAGAAAAGAGCTGCTAAGTTATCTCCTCACGGTTGTCCGTAAGACGTTATCCAAAGTTCTTGTTTCCGGAAGATCGAAATGTTATTTGGTACCGGCCCACCGATAGCAGCTTTACAAAGAGCAGGTTAACATTATTCCAAATGATCCCTATTTGGAATAGTGAACTCATTACTGGGTCGGTACACCGGAATACCAACTCCTTTCACTTAATATTTTATAACGTGGTAGAGTAACGCTGCAGCTATATTATGGTTGTAGCACGAATCGGTCGGCTCGACCGGGGAAGGACCACGCTCTCACAGAATACCAACGTAAAATAGCAGCTTAATGCTACTGTGTTTCGTATGGTGAGTGTAGAACTCCGGAGACCCTTTTTACTGGAAACGACGCATTCCATCTTAGTCCTCAGGGGTGACAACGCATCTGCGTTTTGATTCTTAATCAAGGATAAATGTAGATGTCTATGGGCCACAGAATCCACTTACCACCAGGTTAACTGTGTGCTTGTTTGTCACCCTTATACTCTAAAAAAATTCAACGTAGAGAGACTCGAATCATCATGGATCAATCAATATTCTATTCATTTTCTTTTTATTGAATTCTTCTATCTCAGAGGAATTGTTCGGATTTATTCTAACGGCTAAATTCCATCAACGTGTGCTGCGACAGAACTCGATTTTTTTCTTATATTGTAATTTATAATTTTAATATAAGAAATTCTAATATAAGAATTATAAATTATAATGTAATATAATTCCTTGTATTATCAGCCATACACGACCATATTGAGGAATCTACAGCCGCAAGCAGTTTTTCGGGATTAATACTACTTGAATAGAACCAGTAAGAAGTTACTTCTCCGCACACAGCTGCAATTTCTCTGGTGTTGCAGACGTTCACAGATAATCTTGGTAATCAGTTACCATCAGATGAGCCGTTAGCTTGTTTGCCTGCTCTCCTTTTAAAATTACCCCAGTATTCATTCAAATTTCTGTAATAACCTAATTGATTAAAAGCCTAATGAGTTTTATTCAAATAGCAATGAATTATTTTTTTAAAAACACTGAACGATATTTTAAGTATATTAAATTACATATAACACTTAACTACTTACCATTTGTTTTGTTCTTAATAAAAATATACGTATTAAAACAATTAATACGTACGCATTTACATACTGAACTATTTTAAAATCGGGGCTGTATGAAGCATAGATTTCAATTTCAAATGTAGGGCGTGTCAATAATTGTATTTTGTCAAATTGTATGTGTTTAATACGTCAAACGCAAAATAATGAATAGAGATAAAACTAAATAATTTATTGAAAATCATTGTAAATTAAAGCCTTTATCAAAATAAGCCATTCAAAATGTCAATGAAAGTTAAATGGAAATTGTGTACTTTTTAATAATCGTGTTCATAATTTTATATGCGATTTATCTCATACAACCATACTGGATGCTTATTCTTTCGCTGGCGATGATCTATGCTTTGTATACTCAAATATGCATGATATTTTAATTTTTAATTGGTACGTGTTTTCTATTCGTGCATTCTTTGTTATTAGAAGCAATACTCTATTTACAAAGTTCGATCAAATAATGTTTATTAGAAGGTTGTTATAAGTAAGTATTTATTAATAGGTTCCATTCCATCCATTATAGCCTTTAAAAGTCCACTGCTAAACATATGCCTCACCTATATATTGCTTCATAGGGAGGATTTTGCTATTGGCACGCTTTTCGAGCGGGTTGTCATCGACAGTTTATTTTTTGTATTTGTTATCACACTCTTACGACACCCACGGGACGTTCTTACACCATTACATTACACATAGTGGTGTTCTTACACCATTTATTAAATGTTTATTTGCTACAAACAAATTGATACCTTTATACTTTTATTTTAATTGCAAATGTGATTAATGAACACACAATACGAGTTCATACGATTATGTAACTAAAGCTGAAAACAAATTATCGGACGCGGCTGACGGACGCGACTGACAGCCGCGGCTTATTGAAATCTAGCCAGAGTACATTTAATACTACACTGTGCATACTATCGGCCGTAAGACGCGGACATGACCTTGCGTCGCTCTTGAGCGTTCGGACGTCCGAACAGAATCTGGCCGGCTGGATGTTTGGTGCGTCCGCGGACAGTGTGAACGGGGCACGGGACGCGTCCGCGGACGTTTCGAGTGTCACAAACAAAGAACCAACTGCGCTCGCGACATGATGTGTAATGAAAAAAAAATTAATTGAATCTGTTCATGGCCACGAATGCCTATATTTATAAGTACATATTAGTACATTCTTAAGTAAATTTTTTAACGTTTATCATCTTTTTGTAAGTCTGGATACAATGTATGAAATTCATCATACTCGAGTCGTTTTACATTAATATCATGGACCCAAGCACTCCTTTTCCCTTTTTTTAGGAGGACAACATAAAACAGCTGCCGCTAACTTTATAGATTCATCCTCGCTGTCGCTGCTTGTCATATTTCTCGAATGACAAACCTTTATGGAATGACCGAAGCGAGGCGTCCGAAGACGCCGTCTCGACTACCGTGTACACCGCTAAGCCTCGTCTGTCAGCCGCGGCTGACGGACGCGTCCGATAATTTGTTCTCAGCTTTACTGTGGCAGATTGACACTACATCCGATCTAGATGGAAACCTGCGACCTTACCTCTGCGAACCAAGATAAAGAATGAAGAACATGCATTCTTTTTTCTCTTTCTCACTATCTCACCTGTAATATACCTCTTTTCTTCTTCGTTCTTTTTTTAAAACACGATAAAGGAATTATTGGCCTCTTAATCGTCACATTTGGCACACAGATTGACGATCACATTACCTCACGATTAAATCAATCAGTACAAGAAACGTGTAATCACGACGGATTCTGACGTAATACAGTGTAGTGTTATGTTAGATACACAGCAAAATCAAGCCCCAAGACCGACACTTTGTAGTTATGTATAAACTTTGGCTCCGCGACAAAGTAGCACAGTACACTAGGTCACGTTCAGTGGCGTAGTATAAGTTTCTGACCGCCAAAGGCCGTTAGAGCCGAAAATGCCCTTCTATTCGATTTTTGCAAATATAATATCTAATAATAATAATGTCCTCCAAACCGAATTTCGGCCACGGCGGCCTGCCTCAACAGAGACTAGCCATCGGCACAGGACAGGATTATAGTGACCAAGTGTATGCGCAAGCACAGATGCACTCACTATTCCCTCACTCTCATAATCCGATGGGACGGTAAGCCGACACAGCCGAAGAGAGATTAGGCGCAGGACCAACGGCTTGAGGACAACGGATGGAGGCACGGGGGTTCAGACACCGCCAACTTCCTTACTCCGGGCAACTACTGAGAATTACTTGACGAAAAAAACTCAATAATAATTTTTCGGCCCGACCCGAGATTCGAACCCAGGACCTCATGATCAGCAGTCGCACTACTACAACCACTACAGCAACTAGGCAGTCCTACCAGTGAGACGTTAGTCGAATGATCTATCGACCCCCATTTCATTAATATTAACATCTTGAACAGCCAGCTACGTACAAAGAATTCGAGTATAATATTAACTCAGCGGGGGACGTGCATGGTCATTTTTGTCACTGGTTAAAAAGATGTAGGTCTTTATCCCATGACAGTTTTAATCTAGATACTTTGCGTAAGACGACGACAATAGTTATTTTCATAAAGTTTTGTCCCAAGTTATGCTAACGACTCAAATAAGGTGAACATACGTTATATTTAAAGATTTTTTTTTTTGTTACCGCGTGTTAATCTTAATACATAGGCACATAGAGTAGCGAACTGTTTTTTAAACTCATGAAAAAAAATATTCTACCATACTTTATTTTCATACAAATTTATCGATTTATGGAGCGGACGTCATTGAAGCTCTCAGTAGGCTCTGTTCTGACTGCAAAATATATTCGTAAATGAATTACATACCTACGTGTACTTTAACGTTTCTTATGAATCAGTCTGTCTATTGCTGAAAATCGTATGAAAATTCCTACTTTAGTTTCTGAGAATAACGCCAATATGCTATTGCTACAGTTTTCGTTATATTTTCATTAAAAATATACAGTTAGAATTATTTTTCAGATTTTTTTAAAGGTTCTACTTGCTAAATAGTGATGAGCCGCCTTTTCTATCCCGAAAAACCGTTTCCTGAAATCCACCGTCCGTCATTACACCACGCGGTCTGTGAATATGAAAATCTAAGTACGGGTAACTAATAACAAAGAGTGTATGACATTCAACAGCAAACAAACGAAGGAAGGGAGTCAGCCACAACACGCACACACACATCTCTCGTATTGACACAACTGAGCAGTTTCTAAACCGTACACAACGCGTCAAGCCGTTGTTTAAAATGTTTAAAATACTGTGTCAATATTAACGAAATATTTTTTTTAATATATGAGATAAGGTTTTGTGTTGTGAAAATGGTGCAATTTAATATTTATATATTTTTCTTCTTGGTATACTCGTTTACGCTACTCACTAATGGATATGTTCCTCAAAAGGTATTGTTTATGTCTTAATATATGTATTAAATACATTTTTTTGGATTTATAAATTATTTTGATTAGAATTCATAGCTTAAACATTACAACGACGACGCACAGCGCTTACCGGCCGCATACACATAGCGAAATTTTATCATGTTGGCTTGGCTTACCGAATACGTGTGCTAATCATTTTGTACGCACAATTTTTCAATAAAATACGTACGTTATTTACACAATTGTTTCTGTTTATTTGTCTTGTTTACATGTTTTTTTGTATATAGGAATAGAAATGCTAACATAAACAAAAATATATGAAATACACAAGGTGGAATATATTCTGCGCTGC